TACTGTCCATCCAGTGCTGGTACACTAACCAAAATTTCATGGATACCTAACTACCCTGCTTTAGATGACGAGAAAAATGATGTGGATTTCCTTGTCCCATGAGTAGCTCCTCTGTGATATGTATGCTATGGACCTCTTGCATGAACATTTTCTTATACTCAGGGCAGAAATTCATAAATCATTCTCAGACAAGGAAAAAACTGGATTGGAGGGATTCACAAGGTAAGTGAGAGAGTTACAAGGAGAAACATTAATCAAATGAATAGACTCTCTAGAGAAAAATTAGATTAACGACCGTAAATATTAACTTTGCTTTACATTGAAATATGAATTGACCAGCTTGCTCGGGGAATTGGACATTCTTGTTAATTTAATTTTCTGTAATGGGAGATGGAAGGTTAACTGGAAAAAGCTTCCAGTAGAAAAATCTTTCTAAAATGAATTAGTGCACTTTTCATGTTAATTTATTACTAAGCATTCACTGCTTTGCTTGTTTCCTAAGGGTTGAAAAAAAATTTACAAAAAACTAAAGTGAATTTAAGAGGATTCTCACAGGTACCTGAACCAAGAGACTCACTGAATAGGCTTAGCAAACAGGTGGAAAGAAATAAATTATTGTAGAATGCCACTGGGGTAGTGAACTCCTTTCCAGGTGTTAATTGCTTTGCTAATAGGCCAAGGCTGCTTAGGAAGGAGGAGGGGGAAGTAAAAATTTAGAAGAAAACCAGTTTTCAGTCTTAAAAGAGCCTTCTCAGAAGCCCCAGAGTCAGCAGCCCTTGTGAAAAGGTGTGGCATACCAAGTAACCATGTATTCTTTATCGGGTAACCATGTATTCTTGACTCTTGTTTTAAGTTTTCTTAAGGCACCATAGGGAGGCTTGATGAATCTTTCCCTGGGTGTCGTAGTCTAGGGGTTCCTAGGTGGGTTGTACCCAGCTGATATCATCTATACCCTGGCCTCACCTTTTGTTGGTTGTATCAGGGGTCCCCAACTGGATAGGAACCATGCTCACAGCAGGAAGTGAGTAGTGGGTGATCTAGTGAAGTTTCCTCTGTATTTATAGCTGCTGCCCACTGATTCTACATTATGGTGAGTTGTATAATAACTTCATGATATATCACAATGTAATAATAATAGAAACAAAGTGCACAATAAATGTAATGCACTTGAATCATCCTGAACCATTCCCCTGCCCCTGGTCCATGGAAAAATTGTCTTCCACAAAACTGATCCCTGGTGCCAAAAAGATTGGGGACCACTAGGTTATATGACCTTGGGAAAGTAATTGCACTTTCTCTTTCCCTCAGTTTTCCTGTCTGCAAAATGTAAGACACAGTAGTACCCACTAAATAGAGTTTATTGCTGTGAAGAGCAAATGGGTTCTTGTATGGTTCTAAGATGTGCAGAGGAGTCCCTGGATAGTAATCACTATCATGAATTTGAGCAAACTCTGGGAGAGAGTGGAGGACAGAGGAGCCTGGTGTGCTGCAGTCCGTGAGGTCGCAGAGTTGGACACTACTTAGCTACTGAACAACATCAGCGATGAGTATTAACCACTACTAATAATAAAATCATTTATTTATAAGGAAGAATTTAAGACTGAGAATACTCCCTGAGGAAGATGTTGTGAGACTTGCAGTGAATCCTGTTCCTGTCTTTGCCTGAATTGGTACCATTTATTTGTTGTGTATGTACAAGGTGGTTAGGTCTGCAGCACAGTCACAGCTCTCTCCGCCCAATTATGCTTCTTCTCCACTTTCCTTTCACAGCTGTCAGAACTACCTCACAGTCTGAGGTCTTTCCCTGCCCTAGTTTGCTTCCACCCCGTTTATCTTGACTCTTGAACTCTTGATTCTGAACCACTGTACTTCCCGGAGGACCCAAACTAACACACTGGGGTCTCTGGCCCCCAAGCACACTTCCGAGGACAGAGCCCACTGAGAGGCAGTGCCTCACTCTGACTCGCCTCAGACAGTGGACCCTGAGCTGCTGGCTGGGGAGGGTTTCAGGCAGAGGACTGAATGTACCAGCACTATCTTAGCTCTTCCACTTGAAAGTTGTGCCTTTGAAAGATTAAGATTACTGGAAGTGAATAGGTATCTCAGAAGATGGTGTCAATACTTTTTCTCCTCAACTCTGATTTATAATACCAAAATGACAGATTCCTGGCAAAACAAGTGGCACCTGTTAGGAAAACTAGAAACAAGGTTTTAGGGACAAAGCTTAGTAGCCAAAGGGCTCCACATGAAGTTTGGAGGGAAGGGAGAAAAAGACTTAGAAGAAACTTCTAAATTACAGAATTGGCCGTTAATATGAGCGGCGTAGAAAGAAGGTCACTCTTGGAGAAAAAGAAGCCCAGTAATCTGAAGAAAATTACAGAGAGCCAGGCCGAGAATAATACCTAAGGCTCATTTTGTCATGTTTCAGTGTATAAGATAATACAATATAGCTGAAACTTTAAGACAAGCAAATTGCCCCAGGTTGGACTTCTCAGGAAACAAATGCTGAGATGGAGTTCAGCTTGCAGGATGCTGACTAGGGAGTGCTCTTAGGATTAATACCTGTGAACTGGAAGGGAAGGAGCAGAACTGAGCAAAGGAACAAGGGGAGTTTCATTGCCACCTCAACGGAATGTCTCACCACTTTGTTGAGATGACCCTCCAGAGCTAGCCTGAACAGAGGCAAGAGGGACTGGGCTTTATTCCCACACTGGTCAGTCATTGAGTGCAGCCTACTCTGGAAGGGTAATGGCCTTGGGAGATGACACAGCTCTCCTCAACTGAGACCATTCCCAAAGAGACTGACAGGTGAAGACCAGCTTCAGAGTCATTTCCAATAGCTTGAGTAATACTTCCTTTATTCCTAAAGGGGAATGGGTGGTACATCATAGCATCCACCACACAGATAAATATAATTTCTTAGATCTTACTGAGACTTGGAGAAATGAAACTGATTTAAGCAATGAAATGGTATGTGTTTCTCAGTGTAAGCAGATCTGATAAAAACGGATATATAGTACCACCGTGTGTCAAAACTGCAAATGTATGGAATCCACAAGTACAGCATGCAGCATATGGAGAGGATTAGATGAAAGTGAAAGAGTACTGTTATTTATAGGAGCATGCTAAGAATGCCAGGCTAAACAGGAGGATGCTTCCCTAAATCAAATGATAAAAATGTCACAGAGGCAAGATATAATATGGCTATGTCACTTCAACTACTTAGACATCTGTTCAAAATCTCTGCAACAATCTTAGAATGTAATACATTCTTGGCTTGCCTTCCTAATAATTTGATCTTTTAAAAAGTGTAAGAAAGAATGAAGGGAACTGCTACACTCAACTCAGTCTGATCAGCAAGGAAGGATTTGTTGGTGCTGTTTATATGCTAGAAATCTTTCAACAAGCATATGAAATAAAACGCAGTCCTTGCCTTCCTAAAGAAGAAAGAAAGGAATTGTGTCAATCTAGAGTCTGTAATAGAAAAAAAAAAAAGAAACCTTTGTCAAAATAGACATGTAATTGAGGCTTTAGGAAAACAAACTTCAACAAGTTCACAGAAATATAAATATAACCCCAGGGCCAGAGGCAGTAAAAAGGCATCCATTTTCCTTAATAGTGAAACTCAGAAAAATTAAACTTTGTACTGTAATAATTACCTGCAGAGGCCAATATGACCCAACATAGAGTTCTCCAATGAGTCTATATTTTGAGATGACACATACAAAAGATGAAAGAAAGACACACCAAGATGAATAAGGAAGTTATAAAGACTCTGTAAGAAAGTGACAAAAAGCAAAAATTCAGAATGAGCTGAGGAGTGCTAAATGGCGAAGACCACAGAAAGAGCTTTAAAAACACACACACAGTTTGAAGTAAGATGAAGGAACGGATAAACTGACTGACTAGAGAGGATTCTGTTAAATGATTATGGAGAAAAGGCAGAGCTACTCAATTGCTTCTTTCTTCTCCAATAGGGAACATGATCTTCAAACTGAGAAGGGTATAACAGATATCACAAAGAATAAATTGAAATGCAATCTAAGTGAGGAGAGAGTCAGAAAGAACAGGTATGCAGGATTTGCAGTCTGAACAAAAGATTATAGTTCTCAGGGAAATAGAAAATAGGACATGTGCCAGAAATCTAAGGCAGGCAAAAATACAGATTCTCTAAAGGAGAAAAAAGTGGATTATGGAATCTATGAAGTGAGTGAGCTTAGCATTACTTTCTATAATATTCTAGAGTGCATATTACATAAACATTTGTGAACTAAACTTTAAGTCTCTGAGTTGGCATCACATTATTTCCTGATAGAGCTGAAAAATAGAATGGAAGAATACCAGGCATAATTAACCTTTTTTGCAGCACAGTATTTTGCAAAGATGCTTGTAATATTCATTTTAATAAGATGGAGGGATTTTGCCAAGTTTGTGTGCTGGTTGGAGGGGTCCACTGCTGACTGGACAATTGCATTCATATGTCTGTTAATAGATCTATACCCATCATAAACAAGGCCCTCTAAGACTGTAACATATTGTTCTGTACGTGTTCTTGTACTATTCAACATTTTTTGGGAGAGGTTCATATGAAGACTCTATAAAACAGAGTAGAAAGAATATTATGAAAAGAGTAAGGATAAGCAGTTCATACGAAAGATGTTATGGAAAAACCCCAAACGAACTCTTTAGCCAACCCAGTAAGATCCTCAAGCTCATTAGTAATTGGAGTAATTCAGATTAGTAAAAACTAAAGCATGTACAGAAGTAAAGAAGTGCATAGGAACAAGTCTTGATGAATACGTACCAAGCCAAGTTGAGTAAATATCTCTGGAGAAGGATGTGGGGTTAGAGGAAGAAGGGCCAAAGGAGATGTTCACTAAATCTGTGCTGTTTGATTTTGTGCCATGTTAATGTTATAAACTTAGCATGTTACTTGTAAAATTAAAAATGAGTGAAAAGACCCCTTTTAAAAAACAATATTTTAAAGAAAGAAAAGGCACCAAGGCACTATCCTGTAGACGGAGATCCTCGTCCTGGCCCTGCACTTGCTCGTACGTCACCATGCTGCTCTGAGTGCCGGGCCCCTGTAAGAAAGGGAATGAGCACTGCCTTGGAAATGATAACAAAACGAGATGTAAACAGCAAGGCTTCACAGACTGTGCACTGAAACTTCATATCCATGTTGCAGTTTCAAGTGGCCAGAGTTGGAAGGGAAAGCTAATCAATTAACTGATTGAAATAGGGTCCAAATTATCCTAATGATTTGAAACAGTGGGCCTCACACAACCAGAATGGACTAGGGATGAGTATAAACTTTTAAAGGTTCAGAATGTGAATTGTTTAAGTGCAGGATATAAGACACCTAGATGTTAGAATCATCACTGTAGAAGCAGTTCTCTGATGTAGATGATAAAAATATAACATAATTTCAAGCCATATTAGGAGAAATCTTGGGAAGAGAGATGTGGTCACAGTTGTCAGCTGGGTCATCTACCAGAACTGACTGGTCTAAGCTTGTTAACCAATGAGAAACACAGAAATACGTATCATTCAGGAACATAACAGATTTCTCTGAACTTCTCTCCATCGAATACCATACCATTTAGCATTTAACATGATTTCATTAATTATCACTGTTATTCCCATTATCTCTTCCTGTGATTCCCAGGTATCTCTGTGATAAAGAATCTGCCTGCCAATGCAGGAGACACGGGCTTAATCCCTGGGTCGGGAAGATCCCCCGGAGAAGGAAATGGCAACCCACTCCAGTATGCTTGCCTGGAAAATCCCATGGATAGGGTAGCCTGGTGGGCTACAATATGGTCCATGAGGTTACAAAGAGTCAGACACAACTGAGCAACTGAGAGGATCCCATTACGTTGTAAGCTCCTTAAAGGCACACATGACTGATTGTACTTTTTCATTCCCCATAAAACTTGGAGGAGAGCTGAGCATATAAGAGACATTTAGTAGATACTGAACGTAATAAAACAGATTTTATGTTTTTCTTTTTTAACTTTTTGACCAGGCCACACTGCATGTGAGATCTTAATGCCCTGGCAGATTTTTAAAGACTGGAGATAATGCAAGCTCTGCATCTGTCATTCTGAAGATTAGTAATAACATACATGATTCTAAGAGTAGATGTAGGGCATGGTTATACCTATACTGTCTGTTGATTGTTTTGTTACCTTTATACGACACTGTTTTCTTGAAGCTTTTTTTTTTTAAACACAGTCCAGCGGAAATTCCAGTGGATTCATTATTGTATCATATTGCTAAAGGTTTTACATGCAGAGGATTTTATGTTACTGGTGACAGAAATAGCTAAGACATCTGTAAGAATATAAGAGCAAATTATCCATCAATCAGAAACAACTGGGAGAAACAGCTATTTAAGCAAGGACGCCCTTTGTAGGGTTTTATGAGAATTCAGACACATACGATTTTTCTGTTAAAAAATCTACTCGGTGCTAATTTTAGCTTTCTCAGAGTTGTGATACTCTTGAAGGAAGAAATACGTCCATTGGAATATGCGAAAAGGTGGGAGCTGTGTTTATCACTTTGTGTTGTTTCAGTAAATCCTTCTTCCCTAGCATCTATATGTAGTTTGCCTTAGAATCAGCTGATATACTTTTTAAAAAGATACATATAGCCTGGTCTCCCTCCTCCTGGTCTGGAATGGAGCCTCAAATTCATGGTTTTTTAAGTGTTTTTATGATACATGGCCAGGAATGAAATGAATTTGGCTATAGCTATAGAAAATAAATTTTGAAACCTTAGTGATATGTTTCTCCTCCTGTCATATTTTCAATATTGTCTTCATATAATTCAGTTAATCAATGATTTGGGTTTGAGAAGAAAACAAAAGGAAATATATTCAGGAATTTTATTGGTGAGATGAGAAGATAAGGTCAGGCACGTGTCACAGTAAGGATGGATATATTTGTCATTTGGGACCATGTCAGGGAACTGATAGAACAGGCAAATAGGATAATTGGGGAGAGTTTAAAGATACTATTTACAAGGTGTTGAGGGGGTAAGGGAAGTCATAAGGGATGGGTAAGTGCCTCCACTAGCAATGGTGGGAACCGCTGGGCCTGGAGGGGTAGGAGAAAGAGGTGGTGGTCAGAACTCCAGCTGTAGGAGAGGGTCACCCAACAGGGGCCTTCAGGAGAGGAACAACCTGCAACCCAGCCAGGAGGGAATTGAGGTGCTAAATGCCCAAGCCTTGCCCTTCTGCTGCCTTCCTACCTTCTGCCAGCCCCTCTCCACTGGCCAAACTTGACTTGGAGCAGAGGGCAAGGAGGCTGGCTGATGCAATTCATGTAAGTATGTCTTGAGTGGCACAGTGCAGGTAGGAGAAGAATGGAAAATGGATCTAGAAGGATAAATGGAGAACATCTGGCACAGGGTATGGTCCCCATGTACCACCGTGAACACTTCAGCTTCTTTATTTGTTTACCAATTTTAATTTATTAAATCTATAAAACACTGGCAAACTTTCTGGTCGCTTAGTACCTGATCATTGTTGCTATATTTGGGGAGGTTTCCATGTTCAGAGCTTTGGCTCTGTAAGCTAGAAAACTTGCTTCCCCTGCCCCTCATTTGCAGCAAGCTTCAGGTGTGAGCCGGGGTATATCAATTAGATATATCCAAAGCACAGCAGATTCCTGCTTGAAGAAAAGCTTTGCATATTTTGCTGCTCAGGATGGCAAGAATGGTGATTGGCTTTCGGGATCAGTAGAATTATAGTTGAGCTCCCATAACCGGAGGAGTACAAACACACTGCACAATGCCAGCAGATGTCATTCACAGCAAGGTGTGTTCTGCACAGAGATAGCACTGATGCCAGAGGTAGTCATAGTTTCAGTAAAGCCAAGTTTCTGTAAGCATCTAGTTCACTATAACATCCAGTGCTCAGTGCTTGAAACAGTAGCCTTTCTCAGCAGGCTAATTCTAAAGTTTGGAGCCCTGTTTAGCCTCCCCAACAATTTTGTGAGCTACACAAAACCCTAGTAATAAATTTTTTCTGCTCAATTAACCAGAGTCAATTTCTGATGCTTGTAACTGTGGACCCTGATATGTGTAATACTTCTCTTTTCAATTCTATTCTTATCTTTTATTCTCTTATATTTATCTAAAGTGAAAGTGTTAGTTGCTCAGTAGCCCACCAGGCTCCTCTGTCCATGGAGTTCTCCATACTGGGTTGCCAATCCCTTCACCAGGGATCTTCCTGACCCAGGGATTGAACCTGGGTTTCCCGCATTGCAGACAGATTCTTTACCATCTGAGCAACCAGGGAAGCCCCATATTTATCTAAACTGAACACTTAATAGGGCCACGTGAGAGACAAAATAAGGAGTAGCCTCCTAACTCTGCTTTCTATCAGAAGCAAGAAAGGCTGGTATGCACATATTTGCATTTGGAAAAACTTGCAGTAGATTGAAACTGAGACCTTATGAAACCTGGATGTGATTTGTTCTGTGAAATTCCTCCACTTTTTAAATAGTTAAGCATTGCAGTAGAAATCATTTATCAAGTATCCTAGTTCCATCACTTCTGATATATGCTACCGACAGCTTTGTTGAAGAAATACAAATCTAAGAGAACGCAATTATTAAGCTCTAGCTTTGCTGTCAGTATACCATGTAACCTTGAGCAAATATCACATATTTTTAGAATCAGCAAGTCATTCCAAATTTGCTAATTACAAAAATTCCCATTCATACCTTAAACATTACAGCCCATGGTGTATGTTATTAATGGTCACTTTGTCACAGAAAATTGAAAACTTCCCAAGGAAGATTTTTATGAAACAGCTGCTGGACTTGAATAAGATGAGACAGGAAGTTCACACTGACATTGCTGTTCTTCCCTCAAATACATGGTGATGATAAACTATGAAAAAGAAAATTAAAATGATGTTGCAGAGTTCAAGGGGGGAAGAAAGATTGCTGTCTCCATGGATGTCTCTCAGATATGCAGATAACACCACCCTTATGGCAGAAAGTGAAGAAGAACTAAAGAGCCTCTTGATGAAAGTGAAAGAGGAGAGTGAAAAAGTTGGCTTAAATCTCAACATTCAGAAAACTAAGGTCATGGCATCTGGTCGCATCACTTCATGGCAAATAGATGGGGAAACAGTGGAAACAGTGGCTGACTTTATTTTTCTGGGCTCCAAAATCACTGCAGATGATGACTGCAGCCATGAAATTAAAAGACACTTACTTCTTGGAAGGAAAGTTATGACCAACCTAGACAGCATATTAAAAAGCAGAGACATTACTTTGCCAACAAAGGTCCGTCTAGTCAAGGCTATGGTTTTTCCGGTAGTCATGTATGGATGTGAGAGTTGGACTGTGAAGAAAGCTGAGCACCAAAGAATTGATGCTTTTGAACTGTGGTGTTGGAGAAGACTCTTGAGAGTCCCTTGGACTGCAAGGAGATCCATCCAGTCCATCCTAAAGGAGATCAGTCCTGGGTGTTCCTTGGAAGGACTGATGCTGAAGCTGAAACTCCAGTACTTTGGCCACCTCATGCGAAGAGCTGACGCATTTGAAAAGACCCTGATGCTAGGAAAGATTGCGAGCAAGAGGAGAAGGGGATGACAGAGGATGAGATGGTTGGATGGCATCACTGACTCAATGGACATGGGTTTGGGTGGACTCCAGGAGTTGGTGATGGGCTGGGAGGCCTGGCGTGCTGCGGTTCATGGGATCACAAAGAGTCGGACATGACTGAGCGACTGAACTGACTGATTGACTCCATGGATGATAAAGAAAACAATAGAATGCCAAAGAGTGAGTTGGGTTAAAGCCATGGACATGTCAGTCTCCATGTCAAAATTAGGTGGTGAAGGTTTTGTGACTGGAAGTCTACTCCACTTGAGACAAGGGGCCTGGATTAGAATCATTGCCTTAGCCAGAAGCTGCCTAAGCTGTGAGTTAGAAAAGTCTATATAGCTGGGGAGATGGGAGGACACAGATCCAGCCTTGAGAGCAGGAAAAGAACCAAGCCACATGTTGGCCTGGTGAATGGACCTTTGGTACCTATAACATCA